TCTCTGTAAGAAAAAAAAATTAACAAATCCTGTCTCCTTTGGCTACAGCCTACTAATTTTTAACTGAAAAATTCAGCCTGTAATCATGAAAACAACTCCTGGTCTTCAATAGCCATAGACAAAAAGATGCATTTTCTTCCACACAGGCCCCTACCAAGGACTAGTGGATATCACTTCCTTCTGGACAGAGTTATCAGACCTTTAGTCACAAACGTCAGTTCAGAAAATTCAGAGATGAGCAACGGCATAAGTCAAAGTACCTACAAAGAGCTGAAACACATGTGAAGAACTCTTCTTAAGTTAACAGAGGAGAGCTGGTGGGCCCACTCTCCTCCACCCTACTCCCCCACCCACACTAAAAAAAACTGGAGAAGAATACATAGAATGTAAAAACGTAAGGAAAATCTGATGTTACTCTACTTTGCTTTTCTGAAACAGTATAAGTGGACATTTGAAGCTGTTTTTACATGAAGCAGATTTTAGTTGTTGGAAACAAAATATGTGGACTTCTACTAAAGAAAGGGAAGATAAATCCTTTGGTGCAAGTTTTAGAAAAGGTGCTGGGAGTCTTTGCACCACATTCCCACATTATCTTCCCTATTTGTGTAGTGACCATTTCAACACTACTCTCCCCACCCCACCCCGAGCCCCAGTGTGATCTCTGTTCCGCCCTCCCTCAGTGTAGGATCTGGAAATATCACCAAGATACTGGGTACCCAAAGCTGTGGAAAGTGCTGTAAGAGCTTTATTATTATTATTATTTTTTTTTTTTTTTCCCCTCGAGACGGAGTTTCTTGTTCCCCAGGCTGGAGTGCAATGGTGCGCTCTTGGCTCACTGCAACCTCCGCCTCCTGGGTTTAAGCGATTCTCCTGCCTCAGCCTCTCAAGTAGCTGGGATTACAGGCATGTGCCACCAAGCCTGGCTAATTTTTGTATTTTTAGTAGAGACGGGGGTTTCACTATGTTAGTCAGGCTGGTCTCAAACTCCTGACCTCAGGTGACCCACCCGCCTCGGCCTTCTGAAGTGCTGGGATTACAGGTGTGAGCCACCGTGCCGGGCGTTTATTCTTATTTCTGATGTCATTTAAATTACAAATTAAGCAAAACTTTAAATGGAAAAAAACAAAAATAATTCACTTGAAACGAAGTTGTTGGTAAACACTGTCAATAAAATTTTCTGCAGTAAGGACTAAATTGCCAGGCCTACAGTCCTGACATATCCATTGTAATGTTTTCAAGCCCAGCAGAGAAGTCCTTGTTTCTCCTGCTGTATGTGTTTAGCAGGCCAAGTTGCTTCTTGCTAGAAATGTGTGAAAAGAAAAAAGTCTCACTTTATAATAAATTAAGCTCCCTCTTCTTATACACCTGCCATATTTCATTATGGGTATTTGATATCCAAACAATGGGAAAAATTAGATGGTCAAATTTTGTTAGAGAAAGAAATAAGCTAAAAACACAACTGAAACATTTCAATTTAACTAGCATAGAAAACTCTACTGCCTTAAAATTTATTTATCAAATATATCATAGTTTAAACCTATGGGAATTACTTCTCAGGTTAAACACAATGCAAATTTCTATCACAAACACAGAAGAAATCCCCATGAAGAAAGATTTCAGCAGAAACAGGCAGGCATTGGTACTGTTACTCAACTAGGAGAAAGGACAAGCTGCCAGGTTGAGAGCTAAATAATGTTTGAGGCATCCAATGTTTAAAGCTAA